TATCACAATATGACCATACTAAATTACATGTTCAAAATGTAACTATAATACCATTGCGCAAATTATATATTTATAAGACACTAAATAGATTTAGTAAAGATATTCAAAATTAAGAAAAAATATATTCAATATACGAAACAAGAGCTGAAGTACATGGAAACTTAAAACTTCCTAAACTAAACAAGGAAATATTTCGAAAAAGTTATTTGTATCAAGCACCAGATATATATATAATAATATTCCAAATGAAATGAAATCACTGTTCAATATATAAAAAATATAGATAGCCAATATAGAAGAGCCAGAAAGTCTTATTTAAAGTTTATGCATAGTATGAAAAACAAAAATAGGTAAAAATGTAAATGACTTTGTAAAGAAAATATTAATGATTTATTTATTGTTTAATAATACATTTATTCAGGATCCACAATCAAGAAATCTTGTGGATCTTTTTTCTCTCTCTTTTATATATTATTTTTATTTCTCGTATTGTGTGTGTTTTGAATTAAATTGAAAAATATTTTGATTTGTAAAGGATGAGTTTTCTTATTGTAAATAATTTTTAGATACGTTACTTGGAATAATTCTTTCGATGGAAAACTTAAGAGTTGAGTACGTTACATTAAAAGAATTCTGAATAAGTAAATCAGCAAGTCAAACAACAATCACAGTTGTGGTGGAATGGAATGTATCAGAAGTATTTTCATAAGTAGTATGATGCCACCGGAAATTGATCGCTTTTTTGAATAGGTATGGACCAGCCCAGACTTTCCATTGTGAAATATTCATACACTAAAATCATAAAGATATGCTCAGATTAAGAATTTAGCATTTCCAAAACGGGATATCCCTTGTTCTTAATAACATTGGAAAACAAAGGAATATGGATCAACTTGGAGTACTAGGGCCATCCAGAAAGAGACATGCAATCCCAGTCGTGATAAGCAAAATACGGCGTCTTGTAACAAGTGAGAGTTCGTGAACGCAAAGATCCTGCCACAAGCCATCTTTGTAGCCTAGGCAACAGTAAACAGCAATGTCAAGAAGGATCTACGTCTGGAAACGAGGCCAAAAGAGTTCACCAAGATAGGCTTTCAGTGAAACCTCCAATTTAACTAGTGCATACCTCAAGCAACTGGAGAATGAAACGAGTATTCGTACAATTTCATACGAAGACATACTGCTCACGTTTGGATGCAGCACCTATGGATTTCTGTGCGACCAAACTGTTGAAACAGGCATTGAGAAATCACCGTCGTCATAAACTAGATGGATTATGGAAACCACGTATGGTAGAATGTCGTGCTTTGGATATGACAACCTTAAGATGGAACTTGTTGCAATGGAACTAAGCTATAGGGCTATTGTCAAGATTTAGGGTTGTCTGTAGTGATGTAGTGCAAGGGAGCAGCGCTCCTCTTGTATATGAAGACAGAGCATGACCGGAAAATGGACTGTAACGATTTAGAAAAGCTCCAAAATCATTTTAAGATAGCGTACTCTACTCTCTGTAGAACATATTGTTTCGTTATACAAGCTATGTTAGAAAAAAATGGAAAAATCTATGTTTATTTGCAAAACATGTTTAGGAATGTTAAACATTTTAGGATATAGAAATATATTATATTCTGTACTGTAAGCACTTTTTTACGCTTTAAGATTCAAGAAAGGAAGTAAATGTCTTACTTTTGACACATTTGTACGAAAATGTTTTTGGCTTCCAATGTAACTCTCGTGTACACTTCACAAATGCTCGTCCAACTAATCTATATTCCTGTTCACAGGTAAAGTAGCACGTTTCGCCAACTGGTGTCTGACCTTCACTACACGTTTCGGGATATACAAATCCGTGTTCGGGAGGAACAATTGGAGGGCAAGTCATGGCTTTAAAACAATATGTTAAGTATTTACCGTCATTTATGGTGCATAGTTTAGACTTCTAGATAAAAAGGCTTAATAACAATTCGTGTAATAATATTTCGTTAATCTATACAATAGAATGAAAGATTGTTAACGTTACAAAAGATCAGGTACAATTAAAATAACATGGTTATTTATTCAAACAGAAAAGTAAGGAACGAATGATTTATTGCCAATTAAAGTAAATCGTAAGCTAAATTAAGTAAAATAAAATATGCCGTAATGAATGAGATATTTGTTACATGTTAATTGAAGGTCCCATGTATTTTATAGAATGATATCATATAGTAATACCTACAATAACAAAACCTATATCCTATATTGTTTAACTTTGATCCAGGAACACCATATACATATATACAATATATGAGTCTTATAAATACTGTGTCCTTTCATATTAGTATAAGCAATCGCATTGGTATGGAAGACTGAAGCATTTATAAGGCTCACTAGTTTTCTTTTAATGGCCATTTTGTGACATAAAAGAAAATAGTATTAAATTTAGATATCAATTATTTGTCTAGTCACAGCATGTAAAGAAAACGATGTCTATGACTACACTTGATTACAATTAAAGATCCCTGATTTATTATAAATTAGTTATAACAACGGGACGTGCGATAACTTTACTTATTTCAAACTACATGAATAAAACAACAACAGTAGGTTCCAATATGGAGACAATTCTTACTTACTTGCACACAAATGAAAACTGAAGCAACGTTTAGGTTGCAAAAATCTTAATCTAACCGAAATATTACGCACAAAATATGTAAAATTCCTTTCCTAATTTTTAGGGCTCGATAATTCGAATTGTGTTGTCACGAAATTATCCGGCGCAACTAAGAAGTATCCATTGTTTGACCAATGACATGAAAAGAGGACACTGTTAACTGATCGTAACAAGCAAAAATTGATTATGATATAAATAAACATACAAAGCAATGGTGTTTAAGTAAATCGATCGTACTTGAAATGATACACGATTAAAAGTGGATGAAATCCAGAAAGAACAAACACCCAGCCTATAAAATTTAGATTAAATTTAGTTGTTGAAATAGTTCTAATTAACAGTGTTCCATTGTTGCAATACATGCATTCTCGTATCGGATCTACAATATCTATAATATAAAATTCACATCTTACATCATCATATGACAAAATGTAGTTTATTAAGAGAGGGTGATATAATTCGACTTGCACAACACTTTTTTGGAAAGACGCGTAATTAAAACAAAGATATAATTTATGGTTAATAAGTAGAGCCAACATCATCACATCAAAACATAATATATTTTATTAAAATAAACCTATTTTTAAATGAATCATATTTACTATTTTGTCTTCGTGCTTACTCAAGACGTACATATATATATATATACCCTTTTCAATATTAATAGAAATATATACTTCAATACACTTACCAATACAGACAGGCGACTCTTGGTCCCACGTGCCATCTGTTTGGCAGGTCTTTGTTTTCGGCCCTTGTAGTTCATAACCCCGTTCACACTTTATTTGACATACACTTCCTACTGGATAATCTTCTGTGCTATTGCCATTGCTGGTAGGTATCTTACAGTGGAACTGGCTGTTTGATGGTTTAGAAAAGGCAGGGCATCTGATTCCTGTAAAGGTTATAAACTGGTCAAAGTTAGATTTCGTCTCTTTGCGATTATCATTATTTCAGGGAGATATATTGTTCGTTGGTTAATAAAGGTGACCATAATTCGCCTTGAAGAAGCTGTTTCCTGTGATTGTAACTTTGATTTATATGATTAACAAAGCACTTCAACCCCCCCCCCCATTATGAGAATTGCACACCAAGTGATTTACTGCGAAGCTTCCCACACTATAAAATTTCTTTTGAAAAAACTAGGATACAACTAGGGTGACTTAATACAGCTTGCAACTAATTTATAACAGTTCTGTCAGAAAAATAAGCTGCTGCCTAAAAAGTTGTAGTAATGATATTTTACCATTGTTGAGCAAATTAGATGTAGACAATAGGTAACAGATATCAACTATTGATTATTGCAAAGACTTTTGATACAGTTAATGATTTGTTTTAGAGACACTCTCTACAAAGAAACGACATATTATCAGAGCAAAGAGGTGCTTTAACAATTTCAGTTCTACCTATTAATGGCGATTTTAATACGTTTTTAGTTGGATATTATATCTGAATAACTTTTCTGTCATGTATCAACAAAATCGTAAACTTTGTACAAATATTCTAGCTTCACAACTGCAGTAAAATCCCTAAAATTTGCACTTTACTTCCTTCACTACTAGGCTTTATCGGTACTAACATGAAATCACATGAACATCACTAATGATATGATTACAACAATGAAGTTGGCAAGTTAAAACATTAAAAAAATAATGTTTCTCCTATTTGCTAAGTTCTTTGTACGTATACAACCCTATAATCAATTGAAAACATGATTTTCCTATGTTAACTAAAACAAGAAAGTATTTGTCAATGAACTCCCATATTAAATATTATATGTATAAAAACAACATATATTTACCAGTTAAAAGGACGAAAAATAAAACAGAGTATAGAAACGTTTAGAAATCACGACATTTGGTAAAAAAATAAACAGTTTAGTTTCCTTAGCTTACCCCAACATGTCTTCCTATCTCTGGCGAGATGATACCCTTCTGAGCATGTACAGTCGTACCCTCCATTGTAGTTAACGCACTCATGGCTACAGCCACCATTTTGTTGTTCACACTCGTCGATATCTAGATATGTAATAAGCTGATAAGGATTTGTTCTTCCTTTTGTACCAGGCTGTAACTCTAGTAATAGTGACAGTTTGGTCATTGAGTCTTGAATTAACGTAACTTAGGTAGTGTATAACTTAATGAACAGAGAAGTTCTAAGGGTAGTTACTGTATAATAATATTCCTCTAAGCGTAGAAATAGCAGACAAGACATCATGGGACCCAGCTTCAATAGTAACGATTTGCTACAATACAAAAATGAGTAGAAGGACTTGAGTATATACATCTGACACCTACCAGTAGTGAACGAGAAGAAAAACACCTTAATTCCAACATTCTTTAATCGTACAGTTCACTTTCACCAAAGAAAATGACGGACAACTCTACTATACAGTCATTAAAACGTCGTAATAACTTTTTGTTTTTGTTTACTGCTGATTAATACCTCGTATTTTTCTTTTAATGACTTAAATCAACGTACTGACACACAGTATTTTATTAAAACAAAAACCATTCAACAAGTACTATCACTATGACAAAAGTGGGACGATAGTTTTGATCAACACAAGGGGTTCAAAAGGTACAGTTGAACGAAATATATAAATATATATATGGATGACACGTACTTATCACTTATGTCAAGTTTATTTCTATTTAAACAATTTTCAGCTATTATAACGTCTTTAGGCATGCAGTGAGTAAGTGATCTGGTTTTAGGTTAATCTTTCATCTCACATTATGGGTGAACATCAAGTTCCAAGGTGTGTCGTTTGCATGAAATACAAACATTTTGGATGTGATCACAATGGGGTTCCTGTTGAAGTTAAAGCAACCAGAAAGAGAGAGATCGCCCTAAGACCTTAGACTCCATCCTAAAGCAGACAAGAAAACTTTCATTGTGTTAGATCGTTCAGTGATGGACAGACTTGGAAATTATTGATCATTTATTAACTAAAGAAATACATAAGAAATTGTTCAAGAACATTAATTATAATTCATTTATGGATTTTTTTCTTCCTTTTTTCTATGTGATTACATGTTTTGATGAAGAAAAGCAGAATCCACAAACATACTAAGTGCAAATCAAGGTCAAAATAGAATGTTCCTGAGAAAAAGTAGTCTGGTGTTGGGAAAACTTTTCAACTACTCCAAAACAACATTTGGGAACTTTTATTGCATTTTTGAAGCAAGAGATTAAACTCTAAACATATGTAAACTTATATGAAAATCTGGTAGAACAGATTTTATCTTGTTTAAACTTGTTCCCATGATATGGTAGTTCATGTACGATCGACTCAAGTATTTAGGGTTAAATACTCATATAATGTATGTGAATAAATGTAATTGTCATTTTAAATTAACATTTTAACTTTCACGTTGGCCAGTCATAGTTTTCTGGATGTTTAATCTTACATTTCACATAAAATGATGCTTCAGTACATAACATTAATGTTTTAATATGATAATATTTAACTAACATAAACTAATTATATTCGTTTTCTGTATACCGTACATTATAGAAACCTAAATTTCTATTATATGATAACCTACCATTGCATTGGTACGGATCAGTTGATGAAGAGTTGTAACCCTCTTGACACAAGCATTTAAAACTACCTTCTGTGTTCTCACATTGATGGTGGCATCCTCCATTGCTGGTGCTACATTCGTCTATGTCTTTAGAGAAATACGAACAATACAAATGCCAGTAAAAGAATGACTCAGGAAATAACCTGTCAACCAAAGCTATTCGAAATAAACTATTCTCAGTAACGTTACATTTATTATTGTAAAATGGACTTGATTTCAATTTAATTTGTCATTCATTAGTTGCAGTAAAAAGCTCAATATTCAATGAAAATAAATTATTACAACATTCTAGATATGAAATAAGTTATTATTCAGTTACTGAAATAACTAATATTTTCATAATAAATGACGATATCTTATTTTTTCTAGTTAATTTTGTTTGAATTGTATATCTGTACCGTATAAACTTCATATAATCCGCAGGAGATTAGGCAAAATAATACGAGATTTGATGATAAAAAGTACAATAATAAAATCACTTTCAAACTATTTTCCCATTTGAGGATATATTTCATCACCTGAGGAATTAAGTAGACAATAGTTTAAACAATGAAATATATAAAACTAAAATATTCGGGTGACGTCTCTACTCTTTATCATACATTATATGTGTATGAAAGAAAATAAAGTTCTGTTAACAATATATATATATATATATGTGTGTGGTGTAAGTTTGTTACTCTATTTACAACTTAAGTGTTCGTCATTTTCTTTGTTTTGAAATTCGTAATGACAGGTGGCGATGTGGCTGGTGAAACCATAAAAGGATATGAGAATATTATATATACGAATCAACAGCAAAGGAAAGATAGATTTGAAGTTTTCTGGTCAAGCTTGATTTCATATATTTGTTTGGCTTCGATAAAGTTAGTAAGTTTATTGAACATGTTTTAATAAATGCAAGTCAGGAAAATCAGAAATGAGCGACTTTAACTCTACGTAAAGAAGGTGGAGTATTTATATAACTAATACAACAAAATCTTATTCTTTGGGAATCAGTTTGAATGTTTGTTGAAATGTGATGCAACTAGACAAATAATAGTAATTAAATGTAAATATATAATGCGAACATGAGTAAAATCCATGTGAGGATAAAGAAAATGTTGGGCGATTTTTTTTTGTTTTTTTGACATCTTTATACAGACTTTGATGATTTTTTGTTTTCGGTTTTTATCACACTATTAAATTTTAACCGCACGAACCTTGGAAGTAATGCTTATTTTCTATCACGAAGACTTTCTTGTGGAGAGTTAACTTTTAATTTTGGTAATAATGGCATCAACATCATTTATAAGCTGAATTAAAAATATATTTTTGAGCTAAGAAAAAGTTAACATTTTAAATTGTAGCCGTTTAAAATTTTTCAAAGACGTTAAAACTTCTATTGAAATTCACACTTTTAAGTTGAAGAACGATTGAATAAATATTCCCGAAAATATTATTCAAAAACTTCTTTTAATAAATGCAATTAAGTAACGAAATATCCCCTCAGATGTCGCCACTATGCGAATACGTTTTAAATCTGGACTAATTTCTTAAGCAAGAAGACCTGTGCCATTTTACGTCACAATAGCATGGTCCAGACGTTGTTACAACAATAGAATTGTTATCTTTTATAAATGTAATTGTTTAAAATTACAACAAATGAAAGACGTTGACATTTATTTCAGAAAATGTTTCTATAATAAAATTAAGGTTCTATGTTATGTAAGGAGTGTGTGAGCCCATCATTATATCAAATTAACAGTCGCTATCATTTGTGATTCTTATATGATAGCTTATGTACTATCAAACATTCGTGACCTGTTTCTTACTTCTTTCTATCTTGTCCCCCAGTGACTCAGCAGTAAGTTTGAAGACTTACCACATTAAAAACCAGGTTTCGATACCCGTGGTGTGCACAGCATAGATCGCCCGTTGTGTAGATTTGTGCTTAACAAGAAAAAAATAGACAGAATACTTTTATCTTAAAATTACAGTAGAAGAAATATTAAGTTACAATAACTAAGATGTTACGTAGAGTGAAGAACACATTTCCTGGCAAAGTATGGCATTTACCTGTTTCTTTCATTAAAAACGCTGACCTGTTCGCTGACTGTCATTCTATCTTATCTACCGGGCACACCAGCAGAAGAAAAGAGGGTTATTTATGAGTTAATTTCAGAATTCCTGTACATATAATCTATAAATATAAATGTTTTCGACGTGAACGAGGATATGGAGATTCAAGGATTAAAACCTTTGAAACACATATTAAACTACACTTTATTACAGCAAAGTCCTTTGTCCAGTTACATGCTCGGGCATGTGGAACGCCAACGTTTTCACAACCAACACTTTAAGATAATGGATGTAGTTCGAATGAGGAAACACTTTGGATCAAGGAGTCATTATGTGTTTTAAACTACTCAACCAAGCTTCTATAACCTTAGTCGAAGTACAATGACCATGACGGACATAAGATATGTTATATCGTAGAGCAACAGAACGGAATTTGTATTAAAACGTAAAGTTAATATGTTTGTGATATCACGTGCATATCATTACCATGTATAAGATGTGATGTGAAAGTGTTTTTTTTATTGCCAGTGGAACAAGCATCAACATGAAGTTTCCTCGATTTTTATCTTTACAGGGTTCGTCCTTTTATATAATTTGGCTTTTTTTTTTCTGCTATGTCACATCATTATTCTATCTTGGTCGTGTTTGTACGTGTAGAATATTTAGATCAGATTTGGTAATCAACATCGCTACTGCTTTGCTTATACTTTTAAATCATTGATCAAGACGCTCCATCACACAGAGTAGCGTTTAAATATTACAACATGTTTCTCTTAAGGAACTAATTATACTATTTTGGCAATATTTAATTAAAAATTAATGCTTAATTTGTATATTATAAAAAGAAAAAAATTACGTTTTGATAAGTTTTCATTACTTTTTCACGTGAAAAGTAATATCATCGCAATTACTGTACACATGCTAGACAGATGTAAAATTTTCACTTTATGAAAAAGTAATTTATATATCGAGATATTTTGTACACGGAAATTAATACTTCTTGGCCATTTTGAGTCCTATTAGGTAAACTGCAATAATTATTTTTCTTATGCTTAAAAACATTAAATTATTTTTATACAAAAACCGCCATTTTTTTAGTTGATATGTTGTATGCTAAGTATAATCTCATTTTCTAAAATAAATACACTTGACCTTTATTAAAACCAGAACACATTGCATTAATCCATTTAAACATTTTAATTATGATACTAGAAAAATATCAAAACAAATAAAAAATCAACATTTTTAACCATTTGAATGCTTACTTCGTTTGATTTTAATACGATAAGTTATTTTGAAATTTATTGAAATTAATATTTCACCAAAAGTGGGATTTAAACCACAATTATTTAATAAACATAGCAACACAGATACAGTGTCTTAGACAATATGACACTCCCCATTTCAGATATTTCATCTGCCTCTAGTCATCTAGTTGTAAGCCATCAGTTTTAACCTAGTAGCTGTGGAAAGTATTTCATCATTAAAATATTAATTCATAAAAAATATTAATAAATGTGCTACATTTGTCAACAATTCATAATACAAGTTGTTATCCAATAATATAATTGTTTCGTATCGTTCCTCCTCTGTTTATCGTGTCTTGCGTCTTCAACAACAACAACAAAAAAGAAAAATAATTGTATCACATTTGACTGCTTGTTTCTCTTGATTTAAAACAAATATGAACCTCTGTTTTTCAATGTAATGTAAAATTGTTTGTTCTTTATTTCGCGTAAAGCTGCACGAGGGATATCTGCACTAACCGTTCCTAACATTGCAGGGATAAACCTCAAGATCTGGAGCTGCTCTTTTACCAATGAAAATTGGGAGTGACCCTCAAATAATGTTGTTCGTCCTTCGAAGTTCGAAGAAGACCACGACATCATTTGGTCTA